TAATTAAATTATTGTTTATTTAATCTCATTTAATAATAATCGTTTGATGATAAAATGAACGATCAAGATCGGTTCACATAGTTTGTACCATATGGTTGGTTTCTATTTGAACCAGCCCCTATATATATATATATATATATATATATATATATATATAAAAGGTTGAATAAAGGACAAGGAAAAAAAAGACAGAAAGTAGAGGTGAATAGCACCTCTCTCAAACGCACACGCACACGCACACGCACACATTCATTACCCAAAAAGCCTGTTCCTTTCTCTGATCCTTTTAGATTTCCAAAATCCATCCGCCATTTCTTACATTCAATCAAACATGAAATGGGAATTCATTTGCATATTGATGCTTCTTGGATGGTTTGTATACACCAGGATCAGAAAAACCGGGAAGGACGACACCGATGATGGTCGCCGCCTGCAACCACCGCGTGGTAACTCCGGCTGGCCGTTGATCGGAGAAACAGTAGAGTTTATTGCCTCCGGATACACATCTCGACCTGTCACTTTTATGGAAAAACGAAAGTCTCTGTAAGTCTCGAGTCATCTCCGTTTTGCATGCTTGGACTTTCTGCATTTACACTTGTACTTTTGGGTGCTATTTTTCTCAAACTCTTTAATTAATTAATTAATTAATTTTCAAAATTAAAGTGGTCTAATTTGAAGAATGTTAAGGAATCTAAAAAGTAAAATAAAATAATAAATAAAACGATGTTTTAATACTTTTTCTAAAATAAAGAATTAATATAAACTTTCCTTTTTTTTCTTTTCTAGAAATAATTTCGTATTTTTAAATCAATTTTTTAATATTAAAAAATTTGGTGGCCCATGCATTAGGGGGTTGTACAACGTGTTTCTATGGTTGTTTTGAGAATTTCTTGTTTAATATATATTATTAAAAATACGTCAATAAAAATAATTCCAATCGTTTTTCATGTTGATGATGGGTCATGTGCTTTATGCATATCCTTTATCACTTTAGGGTTTTGCCCCCTTTCCCAATTTGGGAAGTTTTGGATTGCCCCTTCAACTATTTAAGTTGGTCATTATTCCCCTCGTACTTTTTATTTTGTTGTCCCTTTTTCGAAGTTCATTTTATCGTTAAGGACACTTGAAATCGCATGTCTTCGATAGGGGTGTAAACGATTCGCGAGCTATTCGAGATCAACTCAGTTAAAGCTCGGTCAACACTTGACTAGAATAGGCGCGGCTCGAACTCGAACTCGACTCAACATATTAATGAGTCGAGTCAAGCTATTCAATACTCGACTTGAAGAGCTCGTGAGATACTCAATTATTTTGTATATAATCAGTTTTTATGATAAAAATTGTAAAATATAAATAATAAAAATGTCTTATATTTTTAGATATTTAAACAAAATTATGCATTTTTTAATTATAAAAATTATTTTTTTATTAAAATCATAATTAAAAAGACAAAGGAAAACTACAAAAAAGATTAGTAAAATTGTCCCACGTTGAAAGAGAGATGGTAAAGAAACGGAGAATATATGTTATAAAAAGAGAGAGATGGGTGATAAAATTTCTAACTTTATCCTTTTGATAATAAAATTTGAAGTTGATTCCTTTAGTTTTATAAAAACTAAGAGAACACCTTAAGTTTTAAAATTTATAAGAAAAAGACCCTAAAATTTCATAAATTTCAATGGGTGAGCTTGGTTTGAGCTTGATTTGAGTTTCAGTTCGAGCTTGAGAAATAGTTATCGAATTCGAGTCAAACTTTGATTTTTACTCGTAGTTCTCGAGTCGAATTCGAGCTTGAAAATTATGTTTCGAGTTCGAGTCGAGTATAGTGATACTCGAGCTCGACTCGCATCATTTACACCCCTGGTCTTCGACCAACAATATCAAATTGAGCCTTGTAAATATTCATGTTATAAAATAATCCAATTTTGATACCTTGTCACTCCACTTACGAAATCATTCCATTTTTACAAAAAAAAAAAAAGTACTTTTTAAGTCCTAAAAGACAATATGTGTGTTTCATGTCTCATAGTTACGGGAAGGTGTTCAAGACACATATTTTGGGTAGACCGATCTTCGTGTCGACCGATCCCGATGTGAACAAGGTCGTTTTACAAAACCAAGGCAACGTTTTCGTACCAAGTTATCCAAAATCCGTCATCGAGTTACTTGGTGAGTCTTCGATACTGCAAATGAATGGTGGCTTACAGAAGAGATTGCACGCGATTATTGGAGGTTTTTTGAGGTCTCCTCAATTCAAAGCTCGTATCACCAAAGATATCGAGAACTCAGTCAAGCTCACATTCTCGTCTTGGATGGATCGAAAAATCTGCCTCCAAGACGAAACCAAAAAGGTAGAACCTTAGGCTTTATTGGTTAAACAGATCATTTAAAGCGGTTTTATATGATATCAAATGTGTCTAAATGTCTTAAGTTTATATGTTTAAAAAAAAAGGTGTCTTCCATGTAAAGATGTTACAACAAGTTGATAGGACGCTTAAATTTTCCAAGGACACTTTTGGAGTAACGCCTTTCAAAAGTGTCCTATAATAGCTAATATAACACTCACTATAACAAAATTGATTTTATGGGAAGTCTAAAATGTCTATGTGTCATAATAAAATATTTTTTAGGACTTAAGTTTATAGGATCAAACCAAAAAAAGTTATATCTAAAAGTGTCACAATGGGTTTATAGGACGTTTTTAGGCGTTTTAACAAGGATTTTAGGATACTTTTAAAATAAAGTGTCGTATTAGTTATTTTATACGACACCATTTGAAAAAGTGTCCTGGAAACACAAGTATCATATAAAAAGATAGGTTTATAGGACACTTCTCAAAAGTCTATAAAATAACTAATAGGTCACTTTATTTAAAAAGTGTCTTAAAAAACTTGTTAAAATATACAAAAACATCTTTAGGACGCTTAGACAATTTAGATGTGAAATAAGTCAATTTTGTTGTAGTAACTTTATTCCAAAAGTTTTCTAAAAACTTGTTCGGATGTGTAAATACATCCTATTGTAACATTTTACATAGGAAGCACAATTGTTTTGTCTTGTATACCTTAACAGCCTTGTAAAACATTTTATTAGGACATTTAAACATATTTGACATCTTATAAAACCAATTCTGTTGCGGTGACTTAGGGGCCATTTACCAAATGTTTACCTGGGTAAGCTCTTACCAAGTCATATTACTTTACCGGATGAATATGACAAGGACCAAGAATCTTACCCGGTAAGTGATGGCAACGACTCTTACCACGATTAGCGCTTACCAGGTAAATTATTACATACAATGTCGTTTTGGTGGACTCAAATCTTATCCAGTAAGTAATGATAGTGTTGAATTTTACCGATAAGTGCTTACCGGGTAAGTGTTTAGGTAAACGGCCCCTTATATGATCAAATTAACATACAATTTCCATCAAGATCACAAAAGGTTGCTGCTTTTATAGAGTTTTGATGTGGGTGATGATTCTTTTTCAATATCTACATGGATTTGCATCTCCATTTTTCCATTTTCTATGATTAAATCAAGAAAATTACGAGAATCGTTGTTCGGTTAGGCTTGTTCAAGTGGTTCAATGCTTGTTCGGAGTTCGTTAATGGGTAAACGGCATCGTGTTTCGCCCTCTCGATCTGCTTACTCGCTCGACTGCTTGTGATACAGATTACGTTCGAAGTTCTTGTGAGGGTGTTGATGAGTGTCGAGCCCGGTGAAGAAATGGAGTTCCTCAAGAAAGAATTCACGGAAGTCATCAAAGGCTTGATTTGTTTACCCATCAAACTTCCCGGTTTCCAAATGTATAAATCACTCCAGGTAATTTCGTTGTAAGTTCAAATAACGCAGAGCTGAATCTCAGTAGATCGTCATAGTAATGCCACTATGTGATTTGGGGTCTGTTTGTTAACAGCTTAATGAGCTTAATAGGACTCGGAGCTTATTCGATCAACTATATATGACTATATGGTTGTGGCTTAATGATATAAAAAGTGGCTTAATGATATAAAAAATGGATTATTCAGTAAGCTTCTAGGGGGAGCTTTATGCATAAGGCCAAGTTTTTTACAAACATGTCTCTCACAATTAAAAACACGTTTCTTCTGGCTATTAAAAAACCCTTCCAAACAAATACTTTTCCAATCCACACAGACGACTTTATTCCTACAGAACTTAATGGAAACCAACCATACAGCCTCTAACTGTTTGTTGCAGGCTAAGGAGAGAATGTTAAAGATGGTGAGAAAGATGGTAGATGATCGGAAAAGGGCAATGGAGAAGAACGAAACGAAGGGTCCGGATTCGCCAAATGATGCCATTGATGTGTTGTTACGGGATACAGGAGAATCGGATGGGACTCAGCAACGACTACCGTTGGATTTCATCAGTGGGAACATTATCGAGATGATGATCCCCGGGGAGGACTCGGTGCCCATGATCATGACCCTCGCAATCAAATTCCTTAGCGATAATCCAACGGCTCTTGCTCGTCTCGTGGTTTGTAACTCGTTATGATTGTGTTATGAAGATCTTATGACGTATATTTTGAACTCGTTTCTATATATTTTGCAGGAAGAAAACGACGAGTTAAAGAAGCAAAAGGATGAATTGTGCGAAGAGTATTCGTGGACCGATTACGTTTCTTTGCCGTTTACTCAAGGCGTAAGTTTTATCCATTTTGGAGAATCGGTTCTTAAGAGTGTCACGATATCCTTAAAGGAAACCGATCCAATGTTTAGGTGATAAGTGAAACACTTCGGATGGCGAATATCATCAATGCGATATGGAGAAAAGCTCTCGAGGACGTGGAAATCAAAGGCTACTTGATCCCGAAAGGATGGTGTGTTTTGGCGTCGTTGACATCTGTTCATATGGATGAAGAAAACTACGAAAACCCCAACGAATTTGATCCGTGGAGATGGGAGGTAAGCAAGTGATATTTACGTATTTTCACAGTATTTTCAGCTTATCCCTCTCAGACCCTAATTTCCAACGAGATATTGGATTCGTTTGGTTTGATTTTATACGTCTACTGCCTTTTCATGAAATCCGTAACTGGTTGTAGAAAACGGGAGTAAGTGTAAACAGCAACAAGTTTACACCGTTCGGTGGTGGACAACGTTTATGTCCCGGTTTGGAATTCTCGCGGCTCGAAATCGGTATTTTCCTTCATCACCTCGTCACGACTTACACATGGGTTGCCGAAGAAGATCAAATCGTGTATTTTCCGACCGTTAAGACGAGACGGAGGTTGCCCATTATCGTCACCCCCAGAGGAGACCGATCTAATTGATCGTTAGAACAGATATTTGACAAATAATTAAAAGAGTTTATTCCCATATATTTGGGCATAATGTATACAAAGGTTTTTGAGTGCTTGGTTCTTGTCCTTTGGATTGAAGGTGTTGCCTTCTCATGTTTTTTTTTTTTTCTTGTTTTAATAGTTTTGCTATCTTATTCTGTAAATTAACAAATCAATTTTTTTATAATAAGTTGATAAGTGTTTTTGTAAATTAAAAAATCAATTGTTAATTAAAACAAAATTATATTTGAAGTAAATTATTAATAAGTTTTTAGGATATTTTAAAGGGAAAATTGCACCAAAATGGAACCAACTTTCACATGATTTCTATTTTGGGAAACGAACTTTCAAAATCGTCATTTTGGGGAATCAACTTTCACCTGATTCCTATTTTGGGGAACCAACTTTCAAAATCGTCATTTTGGGGAACCAACTTGGACCTGATTCCTATTTTGGGGAACCAACTTTCAAAATCGTCATTTTGGGGAACCAACTTGCACCTAATTCCTATTTTGGAGAACCAACTTTCAAAATAATTATAGAAAAATGGGAAAATTACACCAAAATGGAACCAACTTTCACTTGATTCCTATTTTGGGGAACCAATTTTTAAAATCGTCATTTAGGGGTCTCTATCGAACTTTTTGTTTATTTAAGGGTCTGATTGATCTGTTGAACAAGTAACAGATAATTTAAGGGTCTATATTAAACTTTTGGTTGGATTTGCCAATTTTGATTTAAACTTTAATATTGACACAGATTGGTTAGATATAAAAATCTTGAATGTGATATTTAATATTTATTTTTTATTGTATCAATTAATTTTTTTCTATTAAATTGATTTTTTTATTACATTAGTAAAAAAACAATTTTTATCGTGGTAATTTGGATTTTTTTCGAAAAATCTTCAATTTGATATCTGAATTTAAAAAAACAAGATTTGAAATAAAAAATAGATTTTATTGCATTAATTTTTGAAAAGAAATGAATTTTAGTTATTTTTCTATAATTATTTTGCAAGTTGGCTTCCCAAAATAGGAATCAGATGCAAGTTGGTTCCCCAAAATGACAATTTTGAAAGTTGGTTCCCCAAAATAGGAATCAGATGCAAGTTGGTTCCCCAAAATGACGATTTTGAAAGTTGGTTCCCCAAAATAGGAATCAGGTCCAAGTTGGTTCCCCAAAATAACGATTTTGAAAGTTGGTTCCCCAAAATAGGAATCAGGTCCAAGTTGGTTCCCCAAAATGACGATTTTGAAAGTTGGTTTCTCAAAATATGAATCATGTGAAAGTTGGTTCCATTTTGATGCAATTTTTTCTATTTTAAAAAATTAAATGTATTGGTTATTTTGTGGGGCGTGGATCATAGGATCCGATCCAAATTCACTTTTCAACGTTCACCTTGAAACAAGACCAGTAGAATCCCATTTATTGGATCTTCAGTTCCCAAACTAATTATTACCTTCCAATTTCTTATTATTTTTTTATTTTTACACAAAAAGTTAGACTAAAGTTCCGTTGAACGTTTGTATTTTTTAACGGATATTGTTAAAAGACTCGGATTTGGTATTTTAGGTTGTCAAAATCCAACGGGTTCTTCTGTCTAACGGTCGTTAACTTTTCCATTAAGTCCATTTAAATGAAAAGAATTTTGAGTCATTTTTTCATTATTTATACTATATTATAAAGCATTTGACAAAAACTTTTAAAAACCATTTTTTATACATAAGGTACTGTTTATTGATGTGCATTACTTTAAATTCAAGATTACAAGTAAATTGTACGTAAATGCAACTTATTAAAACTTCATGTTTGAATTCATGTAACTAACTTCAGATAAATATAATCAAATAGAGAATAAACATTTCATTTTAAATATATAAAAAACTAAAATATAATTAGGATAATCATTGAGTTCTAACAAAATACTTAATTATTATCTTTATAAAAAATTATATTATTAAACCAAAAATAAATAAATAAATCAAAGAAATACATAAAAAACGAGAAATTTTAAATATGTTTGATACTAATATCAATATTTTTTTATGTTATCTTCATATTTAAATTTTATTCAAAAATAAAAACATTATCTTTTTCTCAGTAATACATAAAACCGTATTATAACATCGACTAAGATAAAAAAAAAATGAAACACTAAAATCGAGATGTATCTCGCTGCATCGTGCGAATACCCTTCTAGTCTTTTTAATTTGTATTAAAATTAAGAAAACATATCCTAACACCTTAGTTAAACTAATTTTTAAATAAAAATATTTAGACAAATATACTTGATAATTAATTTTGGATAGGTCATAGAACGTCCGGCCTAGTTGGATTAATTTTGGACTTGATCTAGTTGATTAATTTTGGAATTTGAACTGTAAATTGGACTAATATATATATATATATATATATATATATATATATATATATATGTGTGTGTGTGTGCAGGGGCGGAACACAATATGGGCCTATAGGGGCCCAGGCCCCTGTGATTTTTCTCCCAAATACCATTGACTAGTTTAGACCAGAGGTTCTAGAAA